GGCGAGAGTACTATTCAGCAACAGAGTTTTAGAACCACTGCTATTAGTAAGAAGTAATATTTCAGATATTTAACATATATTCTAATTAGTATACTATGATATTTAACCTCTTATTCCAATTTTCAGTCTTTTGAGAAAGAGACTTCATGGTATTTTATCTTCATCATGTATATCATCTGATAATTCCTAGATATTCCCACCAACAAAAATATGCTGCTCTTCTTTTTCCTTCACAATTCAATTAATGACAGAAGCTAAGTTTGGAAGCTAACATTTTCTTTTTTATTAGCATAACTACAAGAAATTTTAAGTTATAGATTTCATATTACAAACCTTATGCATTAAGACCAAGTCAGGGTCTCTTAGAGCCTCCCCCCTGCTGAACCCTGGATAAAGCATGCTCTCTCCTCATCCCGTTCCCTGGGGTTTGTTATCAGGGCTGTGAGATCAGCCAGGATGCTGAGCCTGCACAAAGTACTCTGCTTGTCTGTCCTCTCTGTGGCCCTACGAGCAGGAGCAATGTTAGGCACATAGTCTATCCCAGACCACCTGGGGCACCTGCAGCAGATTCTCAATTACATCAGTATCTCTATGAAAGGATCTGACAGTATTTTCCCTATATATTGTAATTAGAATCACAATGAAGAAATGCACAGCTATGTCATTACAGACTGAGCTGCCAGTTTTCATCCCAGCATGTGTAGATAATGCATCAAATATTGTCAATGTGCACTAAGTCCATCTCTGCTGTTGGGCGCATTTGTTGTTGCAGTGTTCCTGTCTGCTCTGCTGAGCTCGGCAGGGACCAGCTGGGTGGCTGCCGGTGGAAGGAGTAGCTGCCAAAGCTGTTGTCTCACCTGGAGCTGACTGGCTGCCAGAGGCAGTTTCAGCTCTGCAGCAGAGCAGGGAGGTGCACATCCCTGATACCAGCCAGGATGCTCTGTACAGATGCTCCTGATGGAACTGCTGTCCCCTCTTCCACCCCACTGCTGCCAGATTGGGCTGTGTTTTAAGCAAATATGTGCGTTCCTTGAATCAGGATGCAAAGCTCTTCAAGGCATTAATGTGGTCTGGAGGCTGTACTAAGCTGTCCATGCAGACGTTCGGTAGTCAAATACACACCTTTGTGTAAAAGGTCATAGTAACTTATTCAACAATATCACTTACATGCAGGTTAGATCAAAGCCTGGCTGCCAAAAGTTGAAAGCCAGTATAAAGACAGAGATACACTGTTTTATTACATCATTAAAAAAATATCTAGGTTCTACTCTAACAGGGACTACAGGCTGGAGACTGACAGACAAGAATAAAATAGCTGGGAATAAATTTTATGTAGCTATTTTCTTTCTTCCTCAAATGTGAATGCTTATGCAAAACACATTGCTATATATTCACTGACAATAAAGAGGGAATCATTATATGAGTAGTGGATTCTCAGGGGAACACTTTAGCCAAAACACACTCTGCAATAATTTCCTACATCTTAGTTGAATAAATTAATTTATGAATTTTCCATGAATATGTTCAGCCGTTTCTTCCCTCATATATTTTATTGATCTCCATATACATTTAGCAACAAATAACAGAGCTGCTTTTCCATTTGCAGTAAAATAGTTTAGAGATGTTTATGTGGGCCTTGGGGTTCATTGTAAACAAATGCAGTTCAAACACCAGAGAGGTAGCAGAGAAACATGAAGCTTGGCAGGACCCAGGGACCTCTACTAGAAGAAAAGCTCAGCAAAGAGTCAAGGCATATCCAGTCATATCACCAGTGAGATGAGTTCCCTGAAATCAGAGGGACCAGCCCCAAACTGTGGGACTGCTCCCTGTCAGTCCTGTGTAGAATCACTGCAAGGAGCTTTGTGACTCGTGTCTGCAAAAATTGTAATGTACTTTTGCTGCTAAAGACTGATAGGTTGGATCATTCCTTCATTTATTATGTTTTGTCCTATATTGTGTGTCTTTTAATTTTCATGTGAGAAGGAGATGAGGATGGCAAAAAGGAAAAAGGGCATTTCATTCTTCTTCACAAAAATATAAATGTAGTGTCCATGGTCTGGGGAAAACCAACTGACTCCTTTTAGACTGTAGATTCAGTGGCAGAGTAGTCCGAAAACATCATTACTGACCCACAAGACATCTTCTATGGCCATTCTACCCCTGGATGTCACTTAGTTTGGCTTAGGCAATGTCAGTAAATCCAAAGGTGGGCTACTTGTGTGGGCTATTACAATGAATAAGCATACCATCACATGGAAAGTATGCTATATCCATGTTTTTCTTTCAAAAAGGGAAAAGCAGCGATTAGGTGTTGAAAAGTAATCAGTATTATCCTAATTTAGTATTTAAAACAATGGAGTTCTTTTATCATCCTCCCCCAACACTGAGCTGCCACCCCAGTTCTATATGCATACAAACCAACACCCCAAACTAGTAGGGTGTGAATATAATGTGGTTAATCATAGGTGTAACCTATGCACCATTGTGATCTCCAAGTTTAGCTTTCCTTGCCCTGTGCATTCAGATCACAGAGACAGCTCTTTTTAAGTAGCTTCTTTTTTGATTTTTTTTTTTTGAGCTTTTGGGTTGTAATTTTTAATCAGTCTTGAGGAAAGCTGAGGAAAAACTTACCTTGTTGCTTCCAAGTGTAAAGCTCCTTTTTTCTTAACTGCATATAATGACAGGCTTGAAATAGGCCTTACCATCTTAAAGGTGGTATATGAAGTATAATTGCTAATGCTTAGATACATAATTTACGTTTATTATGCATAATAAAATATGTAACTAATTGATGTTCAGTAAGGGATTAAATGATCAACTCCAGCGGCAGGAAGAAGATTTATGCCTGTGTTCTCAATAACATATTGACTATCAGAACACACTGCAGAAAGAGTCGTTGCCTCCAGGACTGTGCGCTGAGAGAATGCTCTCCTTTCTCCAGTTCTCTTTTCCTTCTGATGCTTCTTTTCTTATGTTTGTTCTGTCCAAACCACATAGATTAAGCAAGTGCATTTATGGAGCAAACAAATGAAAAAAAAGTACTTATGTTCCTTTCAGTCTTGCAATAAATTAGTGTAAAGCGCAAGCTAAGCTTGCACATGTTTGTTTGTGGCTATGCATCTTCTAAATCAGAAGGGCAGAACATCACACAGAGCATGCAACCACCACCATCCATTGAAGTTCAGAATGGCCAGGAGATAATGTCAACAGAAGAGGATGTAGGCACAGGATAATGGTCTCCTGCTGTTAGATTAAAGCCTGGGCAAAGATGAGCCCTTTCAACAAAAACAAGTGGAGGAAAAGCCAAGATATTTGCAGTATTTTCAAAGCAGGAGGTATTTATCTTGTAACAACATCCTGTTCTGTTCTCTTGGCTTCCATTGTACCAAAATAACAGAACAGAAGATGATGCTGTGATTTTCGTCAGTGGCTGTTGCTAGCTGAGCTCCAGTTGCCCACTGCTTCCTCACTGGATAACGCCATGATCTTATGCTGGGTGTCCTTTGGCCTTCAAAAAAAGCTCCGCATTTCAAAACACATTGTGTCACACCATGTAAGCGTGCTGGCCTACTTTTAAATGGAACCGAATTAATCTATAATAAAACTCAGACTAATCAAAGGGATTTTTCAGCCTAAAATTTCCGATTTCCCCTGGCAGGAGGCAGTCTCTGCAGGGAGGAGCGCCAGCCTCAGTGCTGAAGGCAAAACTCTTCCTTGCATTAAAAACCCTCAGATTCTGATCTGGTAAACTCTGCTTGAAGCAGACAAAAAAAAAATGAACTGAATTCAGTTCATTAGTTATTAAGCCAAAGAGAACACCTCACACATTTTTGTTCCTGCTTCTATGTGCTGTTTTCTTTTACTCCATTTTATTACTACGTTAATCCAGTTTCCAGCAACCATGCCACTGGGCACAGTCTGGGGAAAACGTCCTTGGGGCAGTAACTGCAGCGAGGACAACTGCACAGGCACAAAGCTCTAAGAGGAAAGACAGCGCTGAAATATATGTAATGCAAACAGCAAAGGCTATGAATAGTCAGCATGTTATAAATCAGGACTTTTTAACTGGCTCACTTTTGCAATATTAATTCTCTCAAGTTGTCTCATTCATCCAATACTGCACATGTCCTGTTGTCCTAAATGGTTTGAACATGGTGACTGTCAACAGGGGCTGTAAATCCTGCCTGCTGAGGTTTTAGGGAAGGGAAAGGAACAAGTAACAATATTCAGATATAGGGAACTATACTGTACTGCTCATGGTTTAATCTTCACTTTTCACTTTTATGATTTTCTTGTATTTCTGGAGTTCACTGCTTGATGGATGGCTATTTTTAGGAATGGTGCTTCTAACTGTTAAGTAAATTTCTAGTTATTGGTAGGAGTCATTTAAAATTTCCTCCTCGTTCAGAGAAGCTGACATGTTGAAGGACCAGTCTCAGTTGATAAGCTGATTTTTTTCACTTCTCACCACTTTGAGGATTGGTGTCTTTTCGTGGATGTCATTCAGACCAAACCCATTGCTTGCAGTGGAAGTTGAGAGCTCCCAGATCCTCAAAAGACCAAACTAATAAGTCAGTAGTGGAAACAGGTGATAGATGGCATGATTTCACACCAAAACATGGTAGCACAGCATAGAAAACACATGGGATTCTGGAGGTTTGTATATTATTCCCAGCTTTGCCACTGATCTCTTAGGTGACCTAGAAGAAATTGTTTCAACTTTCTATGCAGCAGATTCCATATATTTAAGCAGGGAATAATAACAACATTTCATGAGGCACATTTAGAAGTGCCATGCAAAACTCTGCATAGGAAGTAGCTATTATTGTTGTTATCTGTAATAATAAAAACAATGGCATTTTCAATAGAGACTGAAGTTTTGCAATCTGTCCAATGCCATTACTGCTAAATGCAATTTCTCATTTAATCCACAGCTGCTGCTTTTATATTTTGTCCTAATTCAAAATGTATTCTTGGTTTTTTTTTTTTTATGATTTTAGTGCAAATTGGAGTTTCATGCATGTACTTCTGGCAAAACCATCACAGTTCGATGTGAAGGGCCCTGCCCCTGCCTTCCAGAACCTGAAAGTTCAAAACACAAGACGGAGAAGACTGGTGAGTTGGCTGTTAATGGAATTATAGCTGATTAATTGGTTCCTGATATGTTCTTAGAAAAACATAAGAAAGGTATTTCTTAACTAGTATATTTTATATGTAACACTTTCTGGTAACAAGCTAAGATACAACTAATCCTTTTCTAAACATGTAGTGCTTTCGAGCATCTCAACTGCTGCAAAACTAACACCCACTTGCTAGAGTCTCATAGGAAAACTGAGTTCTGGCTAATGGTTCTAGTTTTGACTGAAAATATTGAATCATCATAAAAGAAGACAGAAAAGAAAAAAATACTACTTGATGGTTCATTACTTTGTAAGTTAAAAAAATAATAATAATAATAATCAGTAGCCTATGTGTTAACCAAACAGTCATTTAAAGTCACACATATATGTTACATGGGATCTGAATTGTCATTTTAATCTTTAGTGTCATTAACATTATCATTAGAAGTCAAATATATATTAAATAGATATAAGTATTTGTACTTAAATTGTTTCAACAACAAACTAATTGCAAATGATGTTATATAAAACTGAAGGTTGGAGTCTCAGCACAACAGGCCATTTTCCCTGCCAGCTCTCCAGTGAGTTCTCTATTTAGGTCAGAAAGCCTGGTGAGCTAATTCACTCCCCCAGGTATTTCCCAAGGAAGTAAGCACAAGCTGTCTCAGAGTAATCTCACCCAAAAAGAACTAGTTCTTGCAAAAAAAACTGACTGAAAGCAGAAGTCCAGCAGCAGGGCAAGTGCCACAGCCAGGTTCTAAGAGTTCCAGCCCTGCTATGGGGAAAGCCCTTTGGAAGGGAAAAGAGTTGTTACTTGTGACTGGTTTCTTGATATGAGTGCAGATGTACTGGTGACAGCATCTGTGGCAAAGGGAATACTGGCCTGCTTTTAAGTGCAGTGTTACATCCCCTCTCTTAGGAGGAATGCTAGAAGAGTTCACTCACAGCTGCTGGGATCAGATCTGTATTAGTAGCTCACTAAACCAAGGCAGTGACTTACACAAGGTTTGTTCTGTCTTGTTAAGCTGTGAAATGCATGTTTGCCTTGTGCACCACATAGAGTATAAAAAAGATGAAGTTTTAACAATGGTTTGTTTGACCCAAAATATTTGAGAACCTCTCTTCATTCTTGCTCCTCCCCACTATGGACACATTCTGACAGTAGCAGGCACAGAAACAGGAAAAAAAAGTTTAATCAGCACTTCCTCTGGTTAGTTCAGGCCCTGTTGCTTCAGTTTGAAAACACTGATAATCCTGTTCTACAAATGCTATCCTCTAGCACAGCACCAGTTTTCACATTAGGCCTCCATCCACTTTCTAGAACAAGAAGTGATTCTCCAGCCTAGGTTTTGAAAATTCAGGTTTATTTCATTTTTTGCAAATCACAGACGTTTTTCTGCATAGCTATCAAACTTGGATGAAGTATTTTAGATGGCAAGGTTCTGAAATCAATATATAACTGTAATATTGCTTTATGTGGCTTGAATCTTTTGGTTACAGTATACCTACTGATAAATTGCCTTATTCATATTTTCTATTTCTTGTAGCCCTTATCAGGCTACCAGAAATATTTATTTTTCTTTGCCCTTTCTATTTCTTTGCCCTTATCAGAAAGAGTATCAGATTAATAAATCTTCAGTGACATTTTAAGCTTACAATTTCATTCACACAAGAGAAAAAAGATTCTAATAACCCTTATCTTGATAAATGCAATTTGGCAGGGTATATGTATTCTGAAACCCAGCCTTTTGTTTTGCTTGACTCAAAACTTTAACTCCAGCCAACAAAGCATTAATTTAATGGATGGGGTGATCTGCAGAGCAACTTTCCTGAAGGCTTTTTCAACAGTCCAGACTTGAGCTAATAGTACCTCTGCCATTGCCCTGGTGACAAGGATGTTAAATGCCTCAATTCTGCCATCTTCAGTGTAGCATGAAGAGAGTGTTCTTGCTCCCTTGGGAGGAGCATAATCCCCTGGGGAATAAGGGAAATCATTGCCATGTGTATATGGAAACATTCAAAACACTGAAGGCACTAGTCATCTCCTGCAACAAGTGTATGCAAAGAAACTGCTCATGAGCCTGATTATAGTGTTATAAGGAAAATAATTGTACAGGCATGGGAGTGATAGTGTGTCTGTATATGTATATGCAAAAAAATTATAGCAGTATAATATCTTGCTTTATCACTGTTTCTTTCTGAGATTAGGTGCTGAAATGCCCACATAAGGATTTGGTATTGACAATCAAAAAATCAATAACAAAGGGACTCTCTAATTTGCTTTATTTTAAATTTTCTTTTGGATCTTTGTGCCACTTAAAGACTTCCTTTAACTTACTTCCTCAGTCTCCTTTCTTCAAATAGTGCCTGTTCAGTTGACCTCACTGAGTGTAAGAATCTCAGATTGAATATTTTATAATTTGTCAGTCTTTTAATGAAGAGCTTCCAGGAGTTTCCATGCGAAAACATGAGTAAATTTTATATATGAGAGGATCTATAAGGTCCCTTCCAAACCAAACTGTTCTATGATTCTATGAAATTTTACCCAGGTGCAATTTTAGCAGCATCTGAAAAGGGATTCATTATTGTGTGTGTCTGCCCTTTACAGCCTGGAAGCCAACCAGCTTTCCTTAAGTTTATGAGATAGTTATGATTTCTAATTGTTGATCACAAAAAACTTCCATAGCATAGCCTTTCATAAGATTCCTTTATTTGCTCAACAAGTAGTGTCACCTGGCTTTGGCAAAATAAGGCCTGACTAGCATCTGAGGTGACATCTGTGAGATGTAAGAGGCAATCCCATGGCAGAGCATGGCAGTCCCCTGAGTGATGTTCCCTACATCAAATCCCCAGACCTCTCACCCTGGAGCTTCTGACTAGCATTCTGGTTACTTGGTACCTTAGTGTTCTCTCTAGTCTTCACACAAAATTATTTTATTTTCCTCATGTATTACAATAGTATCATTAATGTTGCTGAACTGGTATAAAAATCAGTAGTTATATTTCTCATATAAAAATTTGTATAAAAGAATTTTGTAGACAGTTGGGACTCAGATTCTGCTCTGTGTTTAGTTGGCAGGTTTGTGAAATCTATTCAAATACAGCGTAATCTTAAGTAGAAAATGATAGAGAGCTAAACCTCATGCCTCATACAGACATGTCAGTGGAAAAATACTAAGGAGAATTACAGTGCAAATGCTTCCCGCAAAATGGAAATGCAGCTCTTAGAGCTACTGCATAAACTTTTTTATGCCTATTATACAACAAGGTTAAATGTATGTGGTTGTGAACTTCTAATTTGAAGGGAGTTTGCATTAATCTTTACACATTCATTCAATCATATTCAAATATTATTCCATAATAAATTACTTTCAGAAATTAAAAATGTAAAGGAACATTTAATTTCCAGAGTACTGTAATTCTAAATGTCATGACCTTTTTTTATATGCTTGTGAATAAAATTGGCAGCAGCATCAAAGAAAAATAATCTAAGTGTATGTGCTTGGAGGTAACAATTGACTGCAGTGTCTCAGTTTTATTCCTTCCTCCTCCCTGGACTCTTTCAAAAACATCTCTGCTTTGAGGATGAAAATCAGGAGTAATAAACACGTTAAAAAGTCTTAATTCCTTTTATACCGCTAACTGGTACTATGGAGACGTTAATAAAATAACAGATGATATCAAAAGAAAACCACCAGAATTTTTACCTTTAATGGCAAATAACAACACTATAATCTTTCTAGCATAAAGTTAAATCTTTGAGGGTATGACAGGATTGTGTTCTTCATTTTCTTAAATGGAATTTTGAGTCAGAGTCTGAGAGGTAGAAAACAGGACTCTGTGAGGGTACTAATGGAAGATTTTGGAAACAAAGACAAGCCCCAATGCTTTTTCTCTTTTCTTTTTGAGGCCCATTTAGATTCCTTTAATGTATCAAAACACTTTATATGCTTCATTATTCACAGCAGTATCCCAGCTTTACAATATGCTTCCATGATAGCTGCTGATTTTTAACTCAGCTACCCAGAGACAAAGGTTAAGCAGTAATCTGCCCTGAGGTTAGCTGCCCTTTCAGAGCATATGTGCCCTTTTATCTAATACTATAAAATGAGTAAGGTTATAATTTCGACAAAAGAAAAGGATTGGTAACTGACTCTTAGTGGCACCTAAGTGACAGAAGTTATTTAGGACACAAAGTTCTGTCTGTTGGTGGTTTTCGGGTACCTCTTTCCAGAAGCTCTGCAATATTAACTAGAGTTCTCATCAAGTGTAACTCGTTTTGACACCAGTTGAAGCTTCTAAAACCCCTCCATAAACAAAGGACTTCAGATGAGAAACAACCAGTTTTAGTTCTTCAGAACCTACTGGCAGGGGAAGAGATTTTTTTTTCCCTTGAACGTGAAGATCACTCTATCAACAAGACAACATTGTGAAATGATTGGGGCATCTCTTGGCAAATGTGAATTTGTAGTTGCAATAATGTGGTTCTGTCAGCTTCCCCAATACCTGTGGGACTCCTGGTTATTACATGTGTTAGCGACATAGTAGCTCAGGCAGGATGGTAAATGTTTAACAACATGTCAGGGCTCGTTCTGACCATACCCTCTTTTTGTGTTTTCTAAGAAACTGAGTGCTATACTCCCAAGATACTAGTCTTCATTTGTTGCTATTAGGGTTGCAGAGCCACTGGAGCGTGAATGGATGCAGTAATTCAAAGTAGGTTTATCCCTATATGTGCGTTGTGTCTTTTTGACCTTGTAGAAATGCCCAAGGCAACTTCTAAGAAAATGCTATTATCTTGGTAAGGGAAATTTAAGGTCACTAGGCAGAAGCAAATATATTCAATTATACTGAGTGTTGTTTAAATTTCTAAAGGGAACCAAGAGAACATTTTTAAGTTACAGGAATAGGTCTTGGCAGCTTAATCAAGAAACTACCTTGTTTAGGGTATAATTTAGGATATGAATTGTAGCATTTAACTACCAGCTCTGTTTG